TTTTTTTTTTTTTATGTTAGTAAGGGTATGAATGTCATTTTTGGGTGCGGTAAAATGAAAATGGGTGCGGTAATTAGTATTTCAGTTTATTTAACTACAATTTCTTTCATCTCACTCAAACAACTATTCAAAATAATTTACTTTTTAACTCATATCAATTTGGATCAATTTTAACCGATTTTGACTATCCCTGACAAGCCCCAAGTAAATACGCTAAAATGCATATGGCACATATGGCATAAGTTGTACAACTATTTTTCTTGTTATTTTCCCTACGTTAACATACAGACAGCAAACTCTTTCCTCATAAGATAAAACAGAACAGAGGCTATAATTATATTTCGGAACGTTGCAAAAACATCAACGTTATCTAAAGGCCGGACAAAAACACAAACTCCTTTCACGCCACCCAACATAAACCTCTCAACGGCTACTTTCTGCGCCCTATACATATTCCACTGCCACCCCTTCACAGCTACACTCCCCACCTCTCTCTGTCTCTCTCTCAGCTTGTAAAATTACCAAAGCTAATTACTTAAGGTCACAAAAATGGCCGGAATTTCGAAAACGCAGATTTATTCATTACTGCCCCTCATGATTTTCCTGTTGGCAAGCTTCTCAGACGCGAGGGACCACGTGATAGGCGGCAAGCCAGACGCGTGGCGGATCCCCACTTCAGATTCAGATACCCTCAACCACTGGGCCGAGAAATCACGTTTCCTCATCGGAGATTCTCTCGGTAAGACTAGCTTGCCCCAAAACCCCCAAAAATCCCCAATTTTTGTTGCTAATAATAATTATAATTAGTAACAATAGCTTGCCCCAAAAATCCCTAAAATTATTCGTTGGGCATTTCAATTTCAATTATTATTATTATTATAATTTTGTTATTGGTTGGCAGTGTGGAAGAACGAGGGGTCCAATGACTCGGTCTTGCAGGTGACGAGGAGGGATTATGTGACCTGCAACACATCGAGTCCGGTGGGAGTGTACAACGCCGGCAGGGTGGAGCTTGAGCGGTCGGGGCCGTACTATTTCATCAGCGGAGTGGAGGGAAACTGCCGGAAGGGGCAGAAGGTGATTGTGGTGGTTATGCATCGTCGGCTGGCGGTTTCGCCCTCACCTTCGCCGGCTGAGGTTGCTCCGGCGCCTACCAGCGGTGGTGATGGGGTTATTATGAGGAGTCGGGGATTTTTGGCGTTGGGGTTAACGGCGCTGGTTGTGGTTGTGGGCTGCGTGATGTGAAGGAGAGAGATTGTTTTGTTAGCTGAGATGTTTGATGGAGCATTTGTTATATTATATTATTTCATTCTTCTCTTATTTCTTTTTTTGTCAAATTCTTTGGTACAATTGAGATTTACACGACTCTGTTGGTGTAATTCTTTGGTTGTGTTATTTATTATATGTTCGAGACATATCAAAGTTTTTTTCTTATATACAATGTTTATATGGATATATACTAGTTTATAATCCAGCATAAAATTTGAGTCTATAATCAAGCGTAAAATTTGTGTTGTGACTCGATTATTTTGCTTTGACAGATGTTTGTAGTAAAATTTTTGGGCTGCATGATAAGTGTATCAACATTCCTCCATACAATCTAAAATGTATCTTAAATCAAGAAGGGCACTAACATAAGCATCTGGTATCAACATCTCCAACCTTTTGCCAGGTTCAAACCTAATCCTAAAAATCCTAGGAAGCAAGAGATGAGTATGGTCAGTGAGCTTGTAGATGGGACAGGAAGAAGGTGGAATGTGGGAGCTGGTTCAAAGGATTTTTCCACCGAAAGAGAACAATGCTACTCTCACTTTTAACCTAGAGCCCAATGATTCTGACAGGGTGATCTGGAATTCAAAAGACAATGGAAAATTCTCAGTATCTGCTGTTTATGAGCTCCTGGTAGAAGAAAAATGGGCCTTGCTTGACTTGCCAGATTGCAGCAGATCCAAAGCCTTGATGACTAAGACTAGATAGGTCAGCTGGAATCTTAATGTGGCAAATACGGTCAAACACTTTATCTGGAAGTGTTACATTCTCCCAGTCAACCAAAACCTTTTGAAAACAAAATATGCACATTGACCTATATGGAACTCTTATGGAGAAGATACTGAATCTTTGGAACACTTATTCTTTCACTGCAGCATAGCCAAAAGAGTATGGAAGCTAGCCTCTATCTCCTAGGATGGATTGTCAAAGGACACTTCTTGCTTCAAGCATTGGTGGATCAACATTTGTAACCTGAAGCACTCACCCACTACGGATCTCAGAACTCAACGGACAGCTTATCTGTTATGGTGGATCTGGAAAGCCCTTAACTTCTGAGTTTTCCAGAACTTCTGGGTACTCTGCTTGGTCTGAACATTTGTCTTGTTCTCCTGCTGTCAGCCACTAGTTGTGTTAGTGGTAGTTGATCAGAGCTCAATTATTTTCTTTGCTTGTTTAGTTTTAGCTTTTCTTGTTATTAGCTAGTTTGCGTAGTGGGTAACTGCTAGGGACTAAGGCCAGTTGCAGATTACCTCTTTTGATTGGTGCTTTGTACAGGGCTGTAATTGTAGAACCATGCCGGGTACTAGGCCTCTGCCCTTGCCGGTGTGTTAAGTCTCCCTTTCTAGTTTAGGGTTATTTCCTATTTTTAGGACGCTATGTTAGCAATCCTCTTTTCTGCCGTGCGGCAGTTTGATTTGTATTTGTATTTGTAACGCTCTCTTCATTCTNATAATAATAATAATAATAATAATAATAATAATAATAATAATAATAATAATAATAATAATAATAATAATAATAAAAAATAAAAAAGAAATAAACAAATTGAACAAACCAACGAAAATTCTTAGCGCCACACATATTATAATTACCGAATAATCTCAATCAAATAATCCATGAAAACTTGTTGCTGTTATATCATGTAATTGATTCTATGTGTTAAAATAAATAATTTTGAATTTATATATCTTGAGTGTTAGTGAATAGTGTACTATAATTATATTATGATTGATATGAGATATTATAGTAGACCGGTTTTAATGGATAAAAAAGATTATTGGAGAATAAGCCTACGCACATGGGTTAGGACACGTGACATAATGGTATTTGTCAAGCCCAACTTGAGCCTTAAGATACACTTCCCCTATAAGGTATCTCAAAAACACATTCTCTCTACATTGACTACTATACTCTCATTTTGCACTCTTGATTTGGAGAGAGTGCTGACTTAAGCATCGGAGACTCGACACTGGCGTTGGGTTCTTGCAGGTACGGAGACAGTTCGAGTTGAAGGAGCCCGGGTGAAATCTATTTACTACCAATGATGTTGTTAATTATTTATGTAATCCATGTACATTTGTTTGGGTGACCTTTTATTGAGTGCTCAACAAATTTAGAATAAATATTTATTATTAATTTAAGAGCTATGTTATTACTAACTTATTTCCCAGGATTTAAAAAAAAAATGAAGTGTTTATGTTATAGTATCAAGATTTAATTTTAGAAAAAAATTATATAATGTAAAAATTATAGAACAATGCTACAGCTCCCGTTACGGAACTATTCGGTTGGGATCTGTAACATTAGATGCACATGATACACTAATCTACATGTGCATCTAATGGTTATAAATCCCAGTTCCGTAGCATTTTCCAAAATTATAATCATTATTAGAATTCCTTTTATGAAAATAAGGCGTTACACAAATAAACAGCTTGATCTAGTAATAAATTGTGTGATCACTCATATCAACTCTGACCAAACACCTCGTAATAGTGTTTTCCCCCACCCCAATTCAGTAGGTCACGAAACAGAAACGCTCACGCCGCAGCCCCGCCATTGCCGCTTCGTCAGTCTTCACCTTCACGCCGCATGCCCGCTGCAAGACCACGCCATAGCGGCCTCATCAATCGTCTATCGCCCGCCTCCATCGCTGTTCCGTCCCGATATCTCGCCCTCTCCGTCTCTGGCCAGCTTCCGTCGCCGGCCTGCCCGTCCCGATCTCTCGCCCTCCTCCGTCGCCGGGCCGCGTCCATCGCAACTTTCAAAGGTATATTACTTGATTTTCAGCTTGGTTTGGTGAATTCGTTTTTCATGGATGAATTTGTTTCATGCCTCAATTGTTTGGTGAATTCGTCTTGCAATTAATAATCATATGAGATTAAAGAAATATAATTTGAGCTACTGTGATGAGCTATAAAGTACTTGATCCCCGACTACTAGCTTGGTCCTGCTACATTTTCTTTTTACCAAACCGGCTTCACCAGTCCACAATTAACTTCCAGCAACTCCACGAGACTCCAGCAAGTCGTAGACCGCCGCCTCATTGCCTGTAAAACTTTCTGATTCTTATATCAAATTGGTTGTAGAATTGTAATACCTAAACAATTTTATGAACCACTGAATCCGCAATAGGGCCAAGAACGGCCATAGGTCGACGACCCTGTATCTAGCCTTCCGGATACCGGAACTCCATAAGACGTGTACTGTATGAAGCCCTTGTTCCTAGGATCATGTCGTTGATATTATACTTATAATTTCAAGTAGATGAAGGGAGGTGGGCTTGCGAAAGGCGATGTCATGGTGAGCACCTCCGCCAGAGGTGAGGCGGGTTCTATAGATAACCGAGGCTAGTAGAAGTAGTTTTAACATATTAGGGTTAAGGGCATAAACATTCTTTTCCAATTTACACATATTTGTGCCTTTTCATCACCTGCCCATGATATGCATTTGAGGATGACTGCCATCACGAAACAATTTTGAATGGCAGATTGTTCATATGGTAATGTGCTATGGGTGATAGTTTTATTTATTTTTATTTTTTCCTTTTAGCTAGCATTAGACAACAAATGGAAGTAGAGAGCAAAAGCAATCACAAAAGTGAACATACTAAGACCGGCTGCAATATGAAGCGTAACAACGAAGAGAAGAAAACGGAGCTTGCTGGGCAGTCTGCCACTTGTAGCGGCCAACAACACTCGAAGAAAAGGAACCGGAAAGAAGTTGCCATATTTGGGAATTACAGAAATTATTACGGTTACAGGGTAATCCCATCTCGTTTCTGTTTTCTCATTTCTTTAATTTTTTTCGGGTTTATAAACGTCAGTGTAGTTTTTCAAAGTTACACGCAAGATGTTTTTCCTTGAGCCTCTGCACCGAAAATTCAGTGAAATTTTTAGAATCTCAAAGAGCATGCATTGTGATTAAAATATATATAGTAGGCTTTGTGACTAGTTTATGGTTGCCCAAAAAGGTATAATATCCAAGTTTGCTGTTAGACTCAATTTGGGGGTTCCTTTTCCGTGGTCAATGGTTCTCAGGTTGGGCATGACCTGGATGAAGATCCTAGATTGAAGATGATGAAAAGAGAATGGTTTGAGGGAAAGGACTGCCTTGATATTGGCTGCAATAGTGGTTTAATCACTATAGCAGTTGGTAAGAAATTTTAAATAAATGCATTTGTTAGTTTCTTCTTGATTTTAACTCTGTGATCATTTAAGTTTTGTCTTCTGTTGTTCTCTACAGCAAAAAAGTTTGGTTGCCGGAGCATTCTTGGTGTTGACATTGATGGAGGTGACTTTTTCTCAAATCTCAAAGATCTTGTTGAACTTGAAACAAACTTGCCTCTCATTTGTTTAAATATATTGGGATATTTTTTACCATTGTAATAGTGCATTAGCCTCATTTTTAAGAATTTTTGTACTTCTGCATTTTGTTTTCTTGTTCCTTGAATCTCTAATGGTTTAGTAGTTAAAAATTGGATAGTACTCTGAGTCTGTGATTAACTAATCCTCGGGGTGTGAAGATATCTTCTGTCTAACAAGATCCATGTTAGTTTAATGCCATCGACAATATTTGTTCTTGAACTTGACTAAATTTGTTCATTATATCATTCTAATTTAGGATCTTAACCTGCTTTTGAGCCTCGGAAAGGCTTGCCTTCTTTAAGGCAACCAATAGTATAATGTAATAGTCCAGATTGTAATTGGTAGTAAAGCTAAAGAAATGTGTTAGATGTTGCATAAATCATTTATACTTTTTAGTAATTTTGCAACATGCGGACAAGCCATTTAATGTTCTTAGGAAAATCGCAATCAGTTGTGATCATGTGAAGGCTGGTGCCCAATTTGAGATGGGCTGGCTAATGGTGGGAGCAAATGTTTAACCAGGTAGTTACTTGACCATTTTCAATTGGGTAGGCAACTTGTTTCCTGAAGTTGGTCTGCAGCTCTTGAAGACGTAGCTTGCATGTACGAAAACGTGTATTTTATTAAGTGAACTTACTTTAGGTAATTTGGCCAATCCTACATTTCAGACAATATTGTGATGTTTAGCATGAAATTCTCCCACTTGTCGAAAATAATTGACGTCTGTTTTTTGTGATGTTTATTCATCAAAATTCAGCCCGAGTTGAGGATGCAAACTGGACACTAAGGAAAGTGGTTAGGGCAAGTACACATAAGGGTAATTCCAAGTCTGAGAGATCAGCAGATGCAGAGTTGGCCAGCAGCTTGGGAAACAACACAACTGAATCACTGACAGATGAAAAACGAGATGACTCGTTGAAAACTGATCTGCTTAAAATAGTCTCTTTTCAGAAAGGCAATTTCGTTCAGAGTTGGCGACCCCCAGAAAACAAATGTTTTCATGCAACCTTTTGGTATTTATGCTGTCCCTTTGATCCCATGCATGTTTGATTGACTTTTTATTTTTCGTTTTTTTGGAGGTAGTTTCATTTAAAAGACACCAACAAAAATTGGCTTGTTCTTGTTTTATACTTTATGTGGCTATTACTCGTGCATGAATGGTGTGATTTACGTGGGTTTATTTTGATTCCGTTCCTGATCAGATTATTTTTGAGTTGCAGCTTAAGTGTAGCGAAATGGATACATTTGAACTGGGGTGATGAGGGACTGATCACATTATTTTGGAGAGTGTGGAAACTCCTCCTTCCGGTATCCAAAGCATTCAACGTTTTCTCTTTTTACCATTTTTTGTTCATCTGGAAATGTTTTTATTCCCCCATATTCGTTTGGAAATGTTACAGATGATTAGCAAATTTGTGTGCAGGGTGGCATTTTCATTTTGGAACCCCAACCCTGGAGCTCGTACTATAACAACCGTCTTGTGTCCGAGGTAAATCACTGCACCTCACGACTTCTAATAGCTCTCTAGCAATGAATTGCAGACTGCTGCCACTAATTACAAGAACATTCAGTTTTCTCCCGAAGATTTTCAGGACATACTTCTAGATAAGGTAGTGCTTTTGGCTATTAAGTTATTTGAAGTTGGATGATTTTTTTTTTTACTTCTCTTTGATCGAGTCTTTTCTGACGGCAGATTGGATTCCGGAGGGTTGAAAACATAACACCTCGCGAATTTGGCAACAAACAGGGGTTCGACAGGCCTATTTTGGCTTTCTGGAAATGATGTGGATGTGGTTCATCTAAACATATGGAGGAATTTACAATTGCTGTTGCATGGAGGTTTTGTGTTTTTCGGTGCAAGTGTAGGCGAAGTATGGTGTGATTCTCTGTTATGTCCTTTTTGTATAAGGAATCTTGCAGAGCAGTTTTGAGGGATTATTATTAATTATAGTTGCCATATATAGGAAAAAAAATTGACTTTCCTCTTACAGAGCAAATGAAAGCGAATGATATTGGATTTTCTCCAAACAATATAAAGAGTAAATTCGAGATCTCCACCATTTTTTATGTTATAAAATTCAACTTGTACAACTTTGTGTAATACACATGGGCTATGCATATATGTAGGAGTCGGATTGAGTGACAATAGATGATGTTAAAAAAAAAAAAAAGAAAGTATAAATCGTAGTCCTTCTATCACTGCTTCAAATCCAGTTAAATGCTCCAGCTTTGGACTGCTTCAAATCCAGTTAAATGCTCCAGATTTGGCCAAACGCATGGTGACATTTCTAAAACTATGAATACTTTTGCTTTCTTGTGTGGGGTATTTTTATAATTTTGTAAAATACATAGATACGTTATTGTGAATTTTCACACGTATTAAAGTACATTTGATCTAACAATATCATGCACTTTGTAACGCGGTGACATTATGTTAAATTTTTGAGCTATTAAATGTTCAGACAGGTGGTAATTTTATAATTTTGTAAATATGGTGATATTTTTAATGTGCATATCTACACGTAATATTGTGTTTTTCACTTATTATCTAAATCGCATATATAATCAAAAACTAAATTGCAAATATTTCTCTTATCTATATATGAAAGAGTTAGACTAATTGTGGTAGTGACAAGTGTCCAATTTAGACATTCTTAATGGCTGACAAGTGTCCACAATTTATTATAGTTTTGCAATTGGATTCGCTTTTTTTTCCTTTTTTTTACATCTATGTGTATAGGATGAATTACGTTTGCGCCTTTCCAGACCGGTCGTCCTGCCAAGCACCGGAAAACCTGCTGAGACCGAAATTGTACGGTGTTTCTCGGTGGGCCCGAGGGCCGCTGTACATGAGATTTTCTTACCGTAAAATCTGGGTACGACCCTCTTTTAACACCTGCTCCCATTCCATTTCCCCTCCTTTTCCACTTGGTCATGAAAACTGGGACGAATCTGCAGAGATGTGATGGCCGTCTTAAGCAACAAAATTGGTAAAAACTAGGCAAGATTTTCTCTCACATTCCCATTCTCTCCTTACGTCAAACCCTAGCCCTCTCCATCTTCTACTCACACCCACACACAGAAAAATGGCTTCGATGAGGTGCCGAAATTCGCCGTCGAAAAATCGAACGAATTTTTTATTGCCGTCGAGAAATTGACCGGCGAGGCTCTTGCCTGGTTCAAAGGTGTCTTCCCACCGGAAACAAGGTCCGATAAAATCAACCAGTGGATCCGCTTCGACCTTTCGTACCTAATCGCCGTTCTGGTCCTGGCGGCAGTCTTCTTCTTCTGGTTTTGGTGTTTCCCTGGCCGAGGGAAGGTGAGCATGATGAAGGCCTGAGAGAGGAACTTCCAGATGCCGAGGAAGGTGTTCGAGAGTGACCCAAAAGGGTATTTTCTGTTTTTCTTTTTTCTTTTTCTATCCTCTGCAACCAGACTAAAACCCTCCTTAACTGAAGACTCTGCAGTAAAGCAAGCCTCGAAGGTGGTTTGTTCTTTGTTATGTACTGCAGCATTTTGGTGCAGGCTCTGTACTGCAGTACTGTGTTTCTCAGTGGGCCTGAGCCCGAAATAAGTAATATATGTTCATTTTGTTTGTTTCATCTGATTATCAAGAAATGTGTAATGATGAGAAACATATGATGTTTAATGAAGCAGTGTTCATGGGGATGTTGTGAATTCCAAGCAAACAAGGTGGTCAGTCCAGTGTAATCCCTCTTCTGCAGATGATATAAGATGTAGTAGCAATCTCTCTCCGTCTCCCTTTCTCAAACTATATTTGATCATCTAAGCTTTCACAAGTTTCTTCACATATATGATACTTCATTTTTCGAACTCAACTATCTATTCTTTCTTTATTTTGTACGTAAACAAACCTACGTTTTTCTCACAGGAACCAAATGGAACACAAGTTCTCATCCCGGTAACCTGTGGCCTAATTGACCTCTTTAGCACCGAGCACGTAAGACTTTCTTATTCCTTTCATCTCAAAAACTAAACAGATAAAAATGGAGAGAAAATGAATATTTTGTTAGTAATTCATAGTAAACTGCTCTGCTCATTTTTCTTCTCCAGGTCCCAAAATATTGAAACATAATGGACTAGATGAATCAAGAAAACATGAATCAGAAAACGCATTTCCATTTTAACCTTAAGGAACAACTTTTTAATAGTCTTCTCAAGGATTATTTACAAAATTGGTTCTCCGATATGTATTTTATTGATCTGGAGTTCTTTAGGTTTTTGGATCTACCGGGCACTAGGGTGGAGGTTCGCTGTAGCCACTACAAGGATGCGGTGGACGCTGACGAGGGGAGGCGTTGGAGGGGTGACAACATGGTCGAGATTCGTAAGAACAAACTCAAGTAGAATTTACTAAAGAAGCGATGCGGAGGGCTCCAACAACGACAACAATTCTCGGTGTATCTTCAATCATCTGTGATCAAGAAAAAGGTATATTATTTCATTGGTCGGTTTTGAATTCATTCTTTAATGAAGGGTTAGCTTTTTCCATTGAAGCTCCCATATTAAGATTGGCGAGTAAAATGTGGGTCTATGATCTTCCCTTAAATTAGAAATGCTTGCAGAGTTTCATATTAGAAATAGCCAACTCAAGTATACTATATAAATTGTCGTTCTTCATGCATTGAAAAAACTCATTATACAACTAAGTCAACAATCACTCACACACACATACTCAAACAGAGAAAAAGTTAAATTTCTCAAACAAGCTATCTATAAGTAGCACCAAATTTGTTCAGATGGTCACTGCATTCTTAGACAAACTATGGAAAAAATGAGAGTGCTTTACTTGATAGTAATATAATAATCCATATCGTGCTTATTCAAGTAGTTTCTTAGGGCCATGACGACCGACAAGTCATGTCTGGCCTAAACCAACCATTGCTGCATTTTGAATGTGTTTCCGAATCCGTTTAACTGATTAAGGTATGGTATGTGCAGAAACATCCGTCTGTAATTTATTAGTTCTTTGTTTTGTCTTGGTTTGGATTAGTCTTTAATAAACGTCATATTGTTTCATACAAGTGATTTTATTTCATGAGCACATCTGTTTGATTAAGTGGAAATAAACAAATTTAGAGAATCTAATTTTTTCTTGCACAGGCGTGTAAAAGGATCCAGTAGTTTAAGGCAATGAGCAGATCATTCCTTTTGTGGTTGCAAAAAAATTGCAGGTCCTATTGATTTATAATACCCAGTGGCCATCTGTTCTATCAGGATAAGCCCAGTCCACCCAGGTGAAACATGTCCCTCCTAATCAGGGTCTCTATTAATAAAGGTATTTTATACATCCATCTGAAAATGGTTTCCTTTGTGCTCATATTGATGCTATATTATTGAGTTGTTACGTTTTTTTAAGTATTTTTTTCCTTTTATGTGATGTCTTGTTTATAAAAGTGTCTATAACAAATAAAAAGTGTGTTAATTTTTGTAAGGCTCTCTCATATCTGTACATGCACTTTTTTTCCCTTTATATCATTTTTGTTGTTTTGGGCCTTTGGTTCCATTTATTTTTGTTGGACAAAATAGAACTTTTTTTGCCCCTTTATATTGAGTGGTGCGACCCTATTTTCAAACATTATTCCTTTTTAGTTTATAGAAGAATATTTATCTTTTTTTAGAGGATTCAAGTACAATCTTTTAGTTGGCAATATGAGATTGGTGTAAGATACAGTATACGTACAAACGACACATATAAGATGTAAAAGGTTGGGCCAATGGGCAGTGAATCCGGGTTTCACAAGCCAGCAAATTGTCTGTTGACCTAAAAAATAAAATATAGATACGTAGAAAACCAATATTATCATACACCTTACCTTTTCCAAAGTGATGAAATAGTGAATAGTTCACAAATTAAATAGAATAAAACATTTTCTTGGTTGCTCGCCATTGGTGTTATATTCTGATTATTTTCCTTAAATTTTCTTGGTTGCGCAATACTGTCGACTTGGTTTTCAATTTCCTGTTTGTAGTAATTTTTTTAATTCAATTGGGTTTTTTTCCTTGTGGGCCTTTCTTTTAATAGAATTTCCGTTCTTCGTGGAGCTTAAAGCCTTAAGGATCAATTTTATCTTTTTTATTCTTTGTGGGCAAAATGTTCTGAAATTCTTGTGATACTCTGAAAGTAGATTGCTTTGCATTAGAAGTAAAATGAGTTGTATTGGTTATATGATTAAAAAACAAGCTATTATTTCATTTTTAGAAATATGTACAAAAAAATATTTGTTTATCTTGAAAAATGTGCGAAATAATATATTTCAAAATTGATAATGAGCCTTTCAAGGTTTAACAAATAGGAGTAGTTTATATGTTTAATATATGTTTTTATGTACTTAATTACAAGAGATTGAATAGTAATATTTTGTGTGGAGTTCTTTTATAGGATACAATGCAAGATAATATTGGAAAAATTATGGTCAGAAAATTTATTTGAGTCCCATTGAGGACAATAATGATGTCACAGGTGCGAGAAGGTATTTTTTTTTTTCTTTTGTCACCTGCATTAACTGAGAATTCCTACACCTAATATATTTAATAATATATGATTTACTATATTTCATTTCTTTGTTTAGTGTTGGTTTTTTCCTGGATTCATTTCCATTTGTTTGTTATCTCTGAAGCCTTTGTTTGTTCATTGGGTTAGGTGATATTCTACTTGATTGGGTTGCATGTTCTATGCAGTAGAGTTCAGGAGGTGTTCTAAGACATTGTAGCGATTGTGTTACAAGAAATTCACAGAATTTCGATAAAGGCCCAAGAGTATTTTGTTCGCTTCAGTTCTAAGATTAGGTCCCCAACTCTAGAGGTTAACATTTCTAGAGTTTAACTTTTTTACCTTACTGATTTATTGTGGCCTTCATTTTATTTCCGACACGTGTTTTATACCGATAGCATACCATATAAATGGTGCTTCTGGAAGTGTCGCATTGAGTCATGAAATACATCTGTATTTTCTGACTACATGGGAAGAATTTGAGTAACTCTTAACATCCTTGGAATGCAGGTTCACGATCTCGAGGCCAAACACAACAATCTAAGGTGCACCACGAGTGCAACGAGCGCCGCATGGTTATTGCCATTTTATGTCTGTTCTTCATTTGGTTAATTACTGCAAACGACGTGTTTTGAGTATTGTTGCTCTTTTTCACTGGTGGTGTTAGATTCTGGTGTGGACATCACACCGACTATTGTTGGACTAAAAGTGACTTAGGATGGGAAGCCGGAGATTTTAGATGTTATTGATTGGATATTTTGGCTTACAATACTTGATAAGCTCCTGAGCTAAACTCTCCTCTCCTGATGAAGAAGATCGACTCACACCCAAGTGTGTCGACGCCATGTCTGCTTTGGCCCTTACCAGGAAAGGTTCTTTCCTTGCAATTATTGGTGCGAATATTTTGGCCCATTTGTACCTTCTTCTATTTTTCCTTTTCGTAAATTCATGACAAGATTCATGGTAAAAAACTCACCAACTATTGTATAGACTATATAAGTGGGTCGGGTCGTGGATTCCCTCTACGATCGCGGTCTCCACAGGTGCAGGGGGAAAAAGCCGGTCGAGAAGCTCACTATACAGAGGGGTTACTTTCTATCGAATGAATGGCCAGTAGGAGTCCCATATATGCGGTTTTACACTTTTGCTACATATATATTTATTTGTATTTGCATCGATTATTAATTATTTACTGCTTCCTTCATCTCTGCATAGCCATCAACACTGCTAGGAACTCATATATTAGAACACAATAACATACACATGTAAGAAATTGGGATGCCTTGTTACATAAATACTATCCCCTCTCCTACACAACTAGCATAAGTCTCCACCATAGAAGAAAATGAAAAGTCCGATACTGCTAATACCGGAGTGGTTGTAATTGCCGTTTTCAATTTTTGAAAGGTTACTTGGATCTCTGTGCTCCATTTGAAAGCATATTTTTTGAGTAAGTTAGTTAGAGGCCTACTCAACATTCTATAATTTAAAAATATTTCATACTATAATCAGTTAACCCCATAAATCCGCTGGATTATTGAGGTCAGCTAGATTATTACCATGCCCCTTCGGCCCTTCCGAGTCCTGATTTGATTTGGAGAAAACAATAAAGAATGATTACGGAAGTTAAAAACTCAAACTTTCTTTGTTAAAGATTTATAATAATACATAAAATACACTTTATTATCGACTAAATTTGGGGCGGCTGTGCACGCACAGCCGTAACCCTACTAGTATTAAAATATTTAAAACTATAGATTTAATTTTCAAAACTAGTCCCTTACCCTCATCTTTACCGCCACCTCCTGATTCCCAGTCTGCCTCCCCCGACCCGATTCTGTCTCCGACGGCCAGTGAATGGAGATTCCCAACCATCATCGTCGGTGGAAAAGCCATCCCCGACCAATTTCTGTATAACAAAAATCTGAGTTTTTTGGTTCGGGATGTAGTCGGCGGCTTTTCGACCAGGATTTATTCTGACGAGTGGATGCGCTCTCTTTAGGGAAAAGAATCCGACGAAATCTCCTTAACTTGCACCTATATGTATCTTATTTCTTTCAATATGATTCATTCTTATATGACCCTAACTCACAAGATCAGTGTCAGGTAAACAATAAAGCTGAAAAATCCACCCCATCACCTCTAAATTACCCAAACCACAGCACTCGAGGTACCTCAAATGGTGTCTCCGGCCATGTTCAAATACACACTATAATATCTCGCAGATAAGGGACTCACCAATCGACCCAATATTCTGTGGGCCCTGCCTTTGATGATCTTGAGGCCACATATGTATGCATAGACATGACGATCTGGGCCGTTGGATGGGATTTTAGTTTCATGTCGGGGGTAAAAACCTACGTAAGAAAGAAGGGTAATTGTACATAGCATGGACTCATTATGTCATTTAGAGGCCCATCGAAAAATGGAGATGTTTATAATGGCATGGGATTATTGATGGGGGTTTAAAGTATAGGTCATAATTTGATAGCATGATGTGGCCGTCTTTTCTGATTAGCATGTTTTCAGGCTTCAAGTCTTAGTACACTATCCTGAGCATGTAAAGGTGTTCTAGTGCACAATGAACTTTCAGCTGCATGAAATCAGCATTTTTGTTAGAATTGAGAATCACCTTGAGAAAATCTGGATGATGATAACATAGAACCTTAAAATACTCTAGCAATGTTTGCCTATTTTTTTTCAGACTATTCCCTTGTACAAAGGGTTCATCATATTCTAATAATTAGAAATCTATTTGCACTCTAAAAACAAAGGGTTCATCAGATTCTAACCGTGCCTCTGTTTGAACTTCTTACATAATCTTACAAATTACCAACCTAATAGTACTTCAACATATTCAGCTTTGAGATTCTATTACACAAATTTTCAACTTCAGGCTGCAAAATTTCATCTCTAGTGCTATGTAGGTCACTTATTCTACAATTAGACGCTCCTTCAGACTTCCCTTGTACGCTTAAAAAGCGAAAAACTGATTTCAAGCAACAAGGAAGGATCAAGTTTTCCCTAATATGAATTAATTCATCGATTTGTTACCATCTGCAACCAATGAAGAACATAACTTCCATTATATATCTGTACCTTATTGTAGTACGTATCCAACAAGCAGCATATGTTCTTTTTCACAACCCAAAAAAATAAATAAAAAATAACTCACTAACCTAAAGTTGTAAGCACATCTAAAAATCTACCTGATCACTCAATCAGGAAAAACTCGGGCACTCAAACTTTCGCTGCTTTTTGAGCACTCATACTTTTGCTACTTTTTTAGCTCTGAGAAAATCTTTCGTCCTCCCTCGACTGTGATTCTTCACCAGCTTCTATCACAACACTCTTGGGTCGGCTAACTAACGCATTTTTTGTACTACTTGAAGCCATAAACAATTTACCTTATTCCTCACGGTCCTTATCCAAAAAATAAACATGTGTTTCGAAAATTTATTTCATTACCAATAACTTTGGTGACGAACAGCTCCTTTCAGCACAATCTTCTTCTTTTTAAGATTCAGACTTTTCAGTTTTCGTCTTCTTACATCAAGTGCTTTGCTCGAAGGCTCGATAACCTTGCTCTGTACGATCATCAATCCCGGCACATACAAATGTCGAGATTCAACTACATTGACTGAAAGTGTCAAGTGACTTTTTTCTGAAACTAGCGATACCTCCATCGAAAAGTTTATAGAAAGTTGAGAAGATTTTTTCGTTTCTAATAAGAACACAAAATTTGGGTGATTGATTCTTATTGATTCCTGGAGTTGGATTGTATGTTTTGAATATTTGGCGGGGATTCTAGTGAACCTAAATAGGAGTTGGTTGAAAGTTGGAAACTGCCGTCAATTTGTAGTATTAAACAAACCGAGTATTACGAAATAGGGTAATAAATAGGGTTTTCAAACAGAGTTGTGCGGCTAGGCTTTCCTTCTTCCGCCATGGGAATCCTCAAGAGCACCACCAATCTTGTGGCCAACGCCAAATACAATTTCAAAAGATTCCTCTCGGCAAATTTAAAAGATGCTCCGGCCACCGGCGGTACTGCCCTGGCACAAGCGTTGTGGTATCCGCCAGATCTGAAGCCTGGCGCCAACATCAGCACCAACACTCTCATGCTCGCGGTGGAGCTTGTGCGCAGCTGCGGAACGCGCGGCTACTCTTTAATCTCAACCGAAGGCGGCTCCTTCAAGGTAGTACAACACAATCCCCCTAACTTCTCTATGCTCCTCAGATGTACAGAGTACTGTCCTGAGTATGTGAGAGGCAATAAAGAAATCCTATCGAGTTGCAACAAATGGATGTTGTTGAAATGTAACAAGGTACTAGATGGATATCCATATGAGGTCCTGTGGAACCCTACGACCAACGAGGTGAGACCCCTTCCATTCTTTCATTGTCCGCCACTCTTTCATGATTTCAGAGAGTTGGAAGTCGAATGGGATTGTCACAGCATAGGGTTTGATCCTGCAGCTGAGGACTATAAGGTGGTCCGATATGGCCTTTCGGTAGACCGTTATGGTAATGGGAAGGTGGAGGTGCAGGGTCTGGACAAACCCCACGCTGCAGTGTTCTCGCTCAAAACTGGTTCTTGGAAGAGAATTGCCTATCCTCATCGTCCCTACATGAGACCCAGTACACGCTCTTGTGTGCACATAAATGGCATTTCCTATTGGATAGCTTTGAATGCCCCGGGCCGTCTCTGTGCCACTATTGTTTCGTTCGACTTTACTAATGAGAACTTTCCGCAACTTATCCCACTCCCAGAGAGCGATAGGCTCGTTGACATCTTTTGTTTACGCATTGTCGAGTTTCGTGGGTCGCTTGCCGCTCTTGTATCTAAGTACTTGCGTGCTGAAGAACCTGTTGTAAAGGAACCTTTTGATTTCGAGATTTGGGTATGGAATGACGGCTGGTCTTTGGATTCTACATACAATGTACCTGCTCTTGATGATGATGTTTGTGTTGAGAGTGTATTGGGTATTTACAAGAATGATAAAGCTCTGTTTATGGGCTCCAATGATTCCCTACTGCTTTACGATTGTCATTCCCGGGTTTTGAAGGACCTCGGCATCCTTGACGAACTAAATTATGTTATAAAAGTTTTTCCTTATGTCCAGAGTATATAAAAGAGTGCTCCTTTTCAGTTGATTCTTATGTTGGAATAGAACAGAGCTGCCGCTGATATTGCGTATGTTATGGTGGCGTATTTCTTTGTTTTCTGTCTAAAATTTATCTGCTATGCAATGCTCCTTTTGGCTGTACCATGTCTATATTGTGATATCTTTCAGTGCATTGGTGGTATCAATCTTTGTTTGCTTATTGATCAGGCTTTTTTCACGTGTGCTTGCATGCGTAGTGAACACATTTTTTCCTTTGATAGATATTATGTCCTATAAGAGTTATGCTCCCCCTTTCGAATTTGTCATCTCTGGTTTGAAAATTATTCCTCCATCTGAAATGGAAATCAACTGATTCAAAGACCTCTTAAACTGAGCCGGAGTCTTGTTCTTTCTATACTACAT